GTAATGGCTGCCCAGAGGGGAGGTGACACGGCAGGGGAGGGCACAAACCGGGATGCACATGCAACGCAACACATAAACGTGAGGTGTTGGGGTGCAGGGGAAGAGAGACGGGAGCCAAATCAGTGCAAAGCTTGCAGAGCCTCTGCCTGCTGTCCTTGCTGACCTGCTTCACATGGCTCCCACCCTCTGGGATGCCAGCAGGATCAGCGCTGGGGGCTGGCACCAGTCCCTTTCCTTTCTCCCCCAGCCTGAAGGAAGTGTTAGCGTTTGGAGCAGGAAAAGGCTCAGACCAGCTCCCTGCACCCACATCCCAGTGTTCGCCCCCAGCCCTGGGTCACTTCCTCCATTTTCCCCTTCTGAAAGCTGTTTTTAATTTAAAGAACGCAATTAAATTGCAAATATTTCACTGTTTTCTGTCAACTGTTAAACCAACATTTGAAGAGAATAGTGGATGCCATCTCCCTTGGAAAGTTCATGCATTTATAATACATTGAACGAAAGACAGAAGCTACCAAAAATGGGTAACAGGGTAAAAAGTTTAAAAGAAAACGGAGGGAAGAGAGATGAGGATATAGAGTCCTTTAAAATAATTCCTTCCCAAATGAGGATTCTTATGCTCATTTAGGGAATGCCATCTCTTAATGGAAGTCTTTGAACCTTTAGTACCAATGTATGTCCCTGCTAACCAAGGATCCTGCTAGCTGACCCCAAAAGGTAGCACAATAAACCACTAACCATTAGTGAGTGATGGAGGTTGTTTCAGACACCTGGTAGCACTTCAGCTACAGACCCCAGCTGACCTTGCTATAGGCAACTTGGCGGTCCCTCCAGGCAGGACTTCAGGCCATGTCTAATGCAGGGTGCTGTGCTCCAAGCTGAGGCTGTGCAGTGCACTGAGGACAGGCCCCACTGCAAGGAAGAGTGTCTTCCATGCTCCCAGGGTTATTTTTACAAGGACACAGTGGCTCCTGTGTCATCCCAGAATGCTCCGGGAGGCAAGGCGGAGGCATGATGCTGGTTTGGCTGGGAGGATGCTCTGGAATTATACAGAAAGGATTTTTCCTTTGACTGCTGCTTGGTCCTTCATACAGAAAAGCAGGGAATGAATTCACCTCTGCCCCTTCAGACTAAGTGCAGTGCAAGACTGGAAGCTGTCGCAGAGGAAGGAGATCCACCAGGGACAGGGGTTGTATCTGGTCTCTGTAGACTGGTTATCCTGAGGGTCATATTGTCAGTTATTTGTAGTGTGTTGGTTGCTTCTACCACATCGGCATTTCTCAGCTACCCCGCTGCATAAAGGAAAGCCAGGGCCATTCTGCCCAACTGGTCCATGAGGCGGTCTCACCCTAGTGATCAGTCTAACACTGGGCCTAAACACATTGATTCAAATTTCCAATTTTGTGAGACCCTGTATTCAATGTACATGTTTGTGTCTTGCAGGTTGTCCTCAAAGAAGAGAAGACACAGGTAAGAGTTGGTCAAGTGTGGGTGGTCCCATAGAAATATGAATTTAATGGTTTCCTCATGATCTCACAAGGCTGATGGTTGCTAGTTGGGAGCAGAAGACACTTTTCTTCTGTGACTCCTGTGGAATCCTTTTGGCTCCCCCAACTCCCTGTGGGTCCAGAGCTACCCTCTCTGTATTCAGTATTCCTTAGACCCCATAGGAACCAGGTCTCCAGCCCAACCTGTGCAATCAAGCACATAACTGGAAAAAACCTCTTGGTATAAACAACCCCTGGCAACCTCATCCATGTTGTATCCATTCTGCACCTTGAGTCTTCATTTCTCTTATGGTTTCATCTGCAAACAGTATGGAATCCCCCAGCAGTGCCCATCTTTGGAACATTCAGTCAGTGGCTTTCCAGGTGTGTACTGGAAGAACTCTTCTTATTCCAGTACATGTGTGTACAGTACCAAGAAGTCACCAAGGTGGCTGATCCCTTGAAGATCCTTTTTGGCCAAGCCCACAGGCAGATTTGTCAGCAGGCACTCAGAGACCCCCTGTGCTGTGGCAGAATCATTAATCCCTTTCATTTTTTCTTGCATGCTCGTGGGCAATGCAGCTCTAACGTTGACATGTGATTGTGCAGCTTTTTATCAGAGCAGAAATCTCTGAACTAATTAGCCATTTCTTATCTAGTTCTTCAAGCCCCAAAAGTAAGAGAAAGGAAGAAAGAAAACACAAAAAACAGTAAGTAGTGATTCATGGAGTTCCTTACCCTGCCTGCACAGAGCTGTGACGCTAGGAAGTGCTTGGTGTGGTGTGTCCCCTGGAGCTGCACAGCCCTAAGTACCTCTCAGGATTATTTTGCAGCTAAACACAGCAATTCTGGGTTTGCTGGAATGGAAAAGGTTTGTAGAGGCTGGAGATCTTTCCCTCTCTTTTGTGCCATCTCTTTCAGTGCTTTTTTTTGTATCTCACAAGGATGTGCAGTGTCTTGTTCATCCAGTCCTGAGCAGAGACTCCAGCTTTTCTGATGAGGGATGAGCTCAGCTCTGCAGAGCACAGTGCCCCCCAGCCTCCCAAGGAGCAGGCTGCACACTGGTGCTGAAAAGGGCCTAAGCTCCTCCCTATTGGCAGCTTTTGGAGGTTTTGGGCTATTCATGATATACAGTACAACCAAATATTCCAAATGGGAGCAGGAGGCAATGGGGACTAGGGAAAAGAAGGGATTGTTTGGAGGTGATAGAGGTCGTGAAAACCTGGGTTTGAGGATCCCATCTGCCCTAGAGTGTTAGCAGAGTCCCTGTGCTATGGGGCAGTCAATCAAGAGGTATGGTGTAAAATACAGTTCCCCAGGGCTGGAAGGAAGACCTGTAAGCTCTCTCTGTTTTTCACCTCCTCCTCTGTCTTCTCCTGGGAATTCCAACTTGCAGCTTCTCACCTGCTTTCAGAGCAAAGAAACAGTTCTGGGGCTGAACCCTGGGCATCAAGCCCCTGGTTAGCTTTGCTGGGACTTGGGATACCCTACAAGAGACAGAAACTGAGCTAGCAGATGGAAATCTGATGGTTTGGTACTAACAGCCCCTGATGCTGCCAGTGTGACCCCAGTAGACACTGGGACTGAAGAGACTGGGAGTGCATGAGGTGCAGAGCATGTTGTGCTGCCTGCACAGGCCATCTCTAATGCATGCAGAGAGCCCATCTCTTTTCCTCTGTGATTTCTGTGTGTTCAATAGCACAGCCACAATGGCTCTTTGGCAATAACCTAGCCAAGGCAGTTTAGCCCTCATCTTTCAGCTCACAAAGAGAGCTGAGTGACTCCTGGTTTCTCCCAACCTCCTTATTGCTCCTGATGTGGATCACATAGGTCCCACGAGCCATCTTGAGTCAGGATTCTCGTATAATCATGCTGCTTTGGCTTATGTGTGTATCTGCTGATCTAAATTACACATGACCAGGTTTTTTTCTCCTACAGAAAGGGAAAACATTTAAAGTGGAGGGACTGATGCAGAGGGTGAAGAGCAAACATGGGGATTTTAACACAAATCCACCATGTAAGGGAGAGATGTCCAGTGTTGCTGGTTTCAGCCATATGGAAATTAGAAAGAGGGATCCCCAAATGTGAAGTTTTAAATATCATAATAGGGTGTGAAAAGCATCAGAGAAAGCAGCCAGGTGGAGTTCAAGCAATTGCCCTGGAGGTTGCCCTCTTGCCTTAAAGGAAATGCTGTTCTCAAGCAATTGATTTGCCGAGTTTTATAGCAGCAAATGGCTAAATGCTGTCCAAGCAGGTTGTATTACTGCTGTCAGTGACTGGTATAGTGTGGCCATGAAACCAGAGCGTTCCCACTGGCTTACCCATTGTTAGCTTTCCCTGCTGGCACAACAATGCCAGCCCGAGCAGATGGTTACACTGCCACGTCAAGTGTCTGCTGTGGTGGGCAACAGTGAGAGGGAATGGGCACAAAAGGTGACAGAGACACGCAGGGAGGCTGGGGAAGGCTGGCTGTTACTGAGCGTTCTGTGTTATTGGAAGCCTGTCCTTCTGCATCTGCTCTTTAACAGGGAGCCTGCACTAGAGAGGCTTGGAGCAAGAAATGCAAGGATTGGAGCTTTGTGGTGGGTTGCCCAAAGGGACGGTGTTCTCCCACCAAGGGTCAGCAATGGGAAGGTCCCAGGCTGTTTCCTGGCTGTCCTGGGGTAGGCTGCAGGATGAAAGGCAGGCAGATGAGTGAGCAAGCACATAGCTCTTGAAAGTCTTGAGAACAGAAAGATCGGTGCTGTCTGCTGCACTCCTGCTTGCTACTCCATAGATCTTCCCCCAGAAGGCTACAGCACTAACCTAATAGCTGGTAGCTAAAATGCTGCATAGATCTCTGTAAGATGGCATGCCTTAATGTCAGCGTAGCTCTGAAGGCATGGAGAATTTCTCCTGCTGCACAATCTCTTTGGCTTAAAATGCAGATCTCCTTTCTGATTGGAATGTTGTTGACCTCAGCCTCCAGCTGCTGGATCTTGCACCCCCAACTCTGCCAGCCTAACGGTGGTTTTCCTCTCTGCTTCTTCAAGCTCTCGTGGGCGCAGCCGGAAATCCCATCGCCACCGCCACTGCCACTCTCGCTCAGAGAGCTCCGACTCCCACTCCCCCAGCTGCCGAAGCAGGTAACGCCACCATTCCCCGACCTGTGTCCTGTAACGCTTCCCAACGGGCTCAAGGACATGACTGCAACAGCCTCTGTGACCCACAAACTCTGGGTGCAGAGCCACATCCCACCCTGGTAGCAGCTATGTCACATTACTGAGGGCTGAGCTTCTTGTGGTCTCAGCTATAGAAGGGTTTTGCCTCGAGGAGCAGTGGCTGCTGCTTTTTGGTTTGGCAGTCACTTCTAATCCTCATGGCTGATGATCAGCTCATGACAGCTGATTCCAGCCTAGTCTTCCTTCCCCAGCCCAAGGGCTGTGTACTGCTATGTCCCAAGAGATCCTTAAACATGGTCTTAGTAATGGAAATATATTTGCCCATGGGCATAGCCACCATCTTTGACCTGATTAAAATCTCTGTCCTGTGGATGACAGATGCATCCTGGGGCCAGCTAAGTGGATGCTGGTGTTAGACCCAGAATCACTGCAATAGCAAGTTGCACAGTTTATACACATCATGTTTCATGTTTTCTGAAAGCACTTGAACAAACCACCCCCCCCTTCCACTTCCCTCCTAACTGCTGGGAATTTTCTTCTGAAGAGCTGACGTTGTGTGCGGGGAAGAAAGCAATCAGTAATCAGAGGAGCATTCATGCAAGAGCAGACAGAATGTGCCTTCTCTTGGAGGTGTATTACCATAGGGACATTCAAGGCTGTATGGAAGTATAGTTTGCCTTGAGCCATCACAAAATCATGAGCTGGAGCTGAAACATGAGGTTGAGCTCCAAAGCCTGGATGCAAAATATTCTCTGTTAAAAAAAAAAGTAGAACAGCAAAACATTCTTTTTCTCTCCATCATGACTCCGCAGAGCAGTCATGTGGAAAACCTTCCCCACACACAACGGCCTAGCACAGAGCTGCCAAGGGTCTGTATGGAGCTGGTGATGGGCAATACTGCAATACCAAGGAGTAACAGTTTGGCTGTTCATGTCTCCTGGAGGCACAGAGCCAGGTCTCGGGAGGAAAGGCGTAAAACACGGCGCAGACACTCCCGGCACCATTCAAAGATCACGGCAAAGCGAAGCTCCTCCGCAGAGGTTCAGGCCAGCCAAAAAGCCAGCCAGACCCTCCAGCTCTACAGCTTCCTGTCTCCTAAGGAAGTAGTAAGTATTACACACTGTGCTCCTCTGCCTGAACTAGCCACAGGAATCTGGGCAAGGAATGTGATATGAAATTTTTATAACTCAATTATAGTGATGTTAGACAAAGGTGGTTTAAAACTATTATTTATTAATGGTGCTGTTCTTCAATGTATTTCAAGTCATTCCTTCCTTCAGCGCTTTCCCACCAAGGGTGGAGCTGGAGAGGGGAAAAATTTGCAAAGGCTCTAGCCTATGAATAATGAATTGAGGACATTTAACGAAAAAGAAACAAAAGAGTGGCCTCCAGCAATGATATTTTACAGGGAAGTGTTTGTTACGCAGTCTTTGCTCAGCTGGATGTGAACTTAATTCACTGGTCTTCATGTCCAAAAGTTTAGTCCTTTGGGGGAAGAAAGGGAACCAAACATATACATAAAAGAAATATCTACATTTAATGAGCTGGTGATTATTGGCAGGGGATATTTTCTGACTATCAGGATCCTTCTAGGATCACTGTTGCTCTGGACTGACAAGCCCAGGGGCTGAATTCGGAACTTATGAGCAGCTCTCATTGATGCTAATGGGAACTGCACGTGCAGCTGAGGGTAAAATCAGGCTCAGTGCCTTGGGATGTTTTTCCATATACATGGAAAGATTTGAGGGAGCAAGAGATTAAAAGAGGTATTAGATACGGATTGATATGCAGTCTTCCTTTTCCATGGCATATTTCCCCTTTGTTCCCAGTTAGCTGCAAAGCAGAGGTGTGATGCTCCTTGATTGTGGTGTTAGTATCTGACAGGCATTCTGGAGACATAAATTGCTACACAGGACTCAAGGTAGAGCAGAATCTGGTGCTTGTGTGGATGTGTAACGTTAGAGGTGTCTTCAGTACAGAGTCCTCCAATCCCCAGAGTGGTATATAAAAGGGAACTGATTTTCACCTTTAGGCCCAGTCATCAACTTGAAATAGCTCAGCCATAGGCAGTAGCTACATCAGATATGAGATGGTGCCAGCAAGAGGAGAGACTTTATCTGCTCTCCCACACAGACAGTGTTCTGATCAAAATACACAGAGATTATACGTGGGTACAGACAGGCGCAAGCTGTCTCTCAACATTATAGATATGCGTATTTGCTCTCATTATAGACCTCTCTTGTGCAGTGCACATGTGAGTCATTGCTTATAATGCCATACAAGGCAGAGCGAGTAGCAGAACCTGCACGCCACACATCAACACGTGCACATGAAGAAAGAGTAACCAGGTATGAAGCTCTAATTGCCATGAGCCTGGGGTGTTGCCCTCTGCCAACTTGGGAAGGTAGGAATGATTTAAGAGCTCCTCCCAAAAAACAGCCAACCAAAGACTGCATCATGTCACCAGGGTTTTTTTTTTTTTGTTCAAGAGGCATATTTTATGTAACTGTTTTCAAGTCTAAGCCTGGTTTTTAATGAGTAGTAGGTTTTCTCTCTCTGAAGGCAGGCTCCCTGAGTCCTGTGAGGCTGACTACCAGCTGCTCTGTTCCCTGAGCAAGAATAAACTCTAATTTAAAACTGTAAAAGCTTTAAAATGAGCTAAACTCAGGCATGCTGCATCCCCCTTTCCACTTGCCTCACTGGGGTAAATGAGCACACAAGCTGCAGGGCAGGGAAAATCGGAGCTTTATGGTTGGAATTGCAGGGGATGGCTAGAAAATAAATGTTATCAGGCCTCTGCTGCTTTCTTTCTAGTAAGGGTTAATAACACAGGCAAATATTTAAATGACTAAAAGGCATAAGTACCTTTAATATGCAACCCATTAGTGTCCTTTTGTTCCCAAAAAAAGTCGAGCTTCTTGGGACCAAGCCCACATTTAAGCTTGTTTAAATAGAAGTCCCTGGTTAAGTGCTGCCCCTGAATTTTTTCTGTATAAGGTCATTAAATATCATATACTCAAAACTGGCAGGGAAAAATGGAATGGGAACTTGTAGTCTCATTTATTAATGACTATACACAACTCTGTGATGCCTCGCCTTTTTGTGAGTTAAGTGGTTGCTCTATAAATAAGCTTAGTCCTGTCAGCCTCGACTTTGAGAGCAGCCTGGATGTGTTAGAAATGAGAATGTGCTCTTCCAGAAAATGGTGATCACATAAAAATAAATTACTGGGAAAGAAAATGTTGTGCAAAAAATTCCAGAACTGGGAGTCAAAAATGCCGTGTTTCAGTCCTCTGGGGGTTGGGGTGTTCCTCTCCCCTACCCTTGCCTCTGGCTAGAGCTTCCCAGCCAAAACATCCTTACCTGGGGAGATGCATTGTCATGTATCCAAAGGAAAGGGGATTGCACAGGAAGGATCCCAATGAAGAGACTCAGACAATACACAAACTCCCATGAGGTAATGTTATGGCACTTCCAAATCAAAGATTGTGCTTTTTAAGCTATTTTTTAATTCCACATTATTTGTCTTCTGAAAACTTGACACATTTTGTAGTAAATTCTGTCATTCCTCCCCCAGTTTGTTTTCCTTCCTTTCTGCTGGAACAGCCACAGTTTCTAACTAGGTCTACCTGTAATTTATGAGGGACAAAGCATATGAAATAATGCCCTAATGCCCTGTCCATGCATCTACCTTGCTGCTGCTTTCTTTCTTGCCTTTATGCATAAGTTGGTGCATGCACATACACACATGCAGAAACACCCCAAAGTTCCCTGCTGCTTTGCTTTTTGGCAGTGAATTCCCAAGCTTCTCCTGCTCATTCTCCCTTTAATCCCATGCAGCCACAATAGCCACCTATTGAGAGCAGGATTGCATGAGGGTCTGTGCCTCAGCATGCAGAGAAACTGTGGGTAATATACAGCATCCAATTTTGAATAGAGTCCCCTTAACCTGCTGCAGATGCTTTATTCTACACTGACACACATGTACCACATGCCAGTGTGCTTCCAGTTGAGCAGTGCAATAGAAATACCTGCAGGGCATGAATCTAATTGCCTTTGTTGTACCTGATGAAGATAACTGCACGCTGCAGACACTTTCCTTGCCAGCTCCTTTACTTCCACCAAGACTCATTTACAATGTCACAAATTAACACAGGCTTGAGCCAGATTTTCAGTGGGGCACAGCTGTTCCCAATGATGCTCGTGTCTGCAGAAAAGGTAGGAGTGAGAAAATATTGGGATAGCAGGTGTAGGAGGGCTGAGGAAACGGTCTAGCAGACCTGCATATTGGCTTGCTGTTGCTCTAGCCTGTTCAGAAGGCTAGATGGTTTCTTTTTCCTACGGTTTACATAGGAAAAGCTACTCTTTTAACTGTTTGGCAGCATGTTTCTGTTGACAAAGAGGACCCTTGAAGAGCAGAAAGGCAAAAGCCTTCATGAAAATGGAAGTTGTTCTCTCTTTTTCTTAATTCCCTCCCAGCCAGGGGACTGAGGTTACCCCTGGTTGGGTAAGTTTGCAGCTCAGCACTGGGACGCAGGGAGGCCAGCAGCCTGGGGTGGAGGAAGGATGCCTGCAGCCACTGGTGGGCTGTGTTGTACACCGGGTACCAAAGGAGGTGGTGAAGGCAAACCCTTGCTCCAAAGTAGTGCCAGCCTAGCTCAAGCCGAGGTGGGGACACCGTGGCCTGTGTCACATGGGGCTGGCTGCACCCCAGCATGCTGGAAAGATCTTCGCAAAGGAACAAACCTTTGCCTGGCATTCTTGGGGATTCATCCCCAGCAATGGATCAGGGAGCCAGGCTGCTCAGCAGTGCTACCACCCAGCCCCAAACAACCCAAGCTCTGACCTTGCAGGGACAGTCTGTCATTGCCTTCATGCTCCTGGACTTAACTTAGCCCTTGTGGTACAAAAAGACTCGCCCTGAGCTCTCCACCTAGCCAAAAAGAAGGGTATTTTCCACTCGGTATTCCTCAATACAGTGGGACTCGTAGTTGTGCAGCCCTTCTCAGCAGGTGCTGCTGCCTGCACCAGTAGCAACTCAGCAGATGTCTGCTGGGCCCTTGCTGAGAACAAGGCTCACCAGGGTCATTGACACAAGTGTTTTATTCCTTTCATTATTCCAGTGCCCAGAGAAAAGAGAGAAAGGGAGACATTATGCACCTCTGAAAAGGAAATTAACTCCACTTTGAAGTGAGTTGCAAAACAAGAATAAAAAGACCCAAGAAAGAAATCCTCCAAGCAGAAGTGAGGCCGTGCCACGCAGCTCATTGATGGGTCTCGGGCCCCTTATGGCTGAGAAGATGTAGAGTCATCTCTCACCCCAGGGCTGTTTGCAGCACAGTAAATGGAGTTGTTCAGTTTAATTGGAAGATGAGTAGTGATTGTGTTTTTGTAACCTATTAGACTGCACTGCCTCTTGGTCTAGGATCACACTCACAATTACAGTCTGGTGTATGAGTGAGGGCCTTATTTCTACTCCCCCTTCATCTTGATAGAGTAACGATTTGAAACCAAAAAAAATCCAATAAATATATCTTGGGTTCCCTTGAGGGCAGCAGTAGCTCCCCTGCTGAAAGCTGGAGGAGGCAAAGTTCGCTGGGATTATTTAATTACTTATTAGAGAGGGGGAAAAATTAACATGTTCACATAGCGAAAATGAGCTCATGAAAGAGCAGTGTTTTAAGGCACTCTAGAAAAACAAAAAGCCATTAGAATTCAGCTGAGCTCTGCAGCATTTTCACTGTTTGCATGGTGTTTTCAGATGTGGGGCTGTTTTCATCTTGTGTGGCTGGCAGTAAAATGGGACCAGAAGCAAAGCCAAGGTCATCAGGTGGGGAATTCATCCAAGCAGAGAGGCAAGTTGAGCACCTCGAGGCTTGTCCTGGCTCTTGCCACAGGTCACAAATCTGCCCCAGAGCCTGCAGGAAGTTACTGGCTCCAGCCTTGTGCCACGGCTGGTGAGGCTGGAAGTTGCTGTGTCCCCCCAGCACCTGCCTTGCCCCAACCACCTCCTCAGGCCTCACGAGGACTTTGGGCTCCCTATTTCACTGATACCCACATGTTGCCTTTTCCCAGAGTGCTGCTACCACTGATGCTGAGCCACAGAGAATCTTGTTGATCCCCTGGTCACTTGACAGATTTTGTGATGTGCTGACGACAGTTGCTACTTTGAAGGTAGACTTCAGTGAAGATAGGCAGCAGCCTTAAAAGCTGGTTTAGAAATGCTGTGTTTTGGGGCAGAAATAAAGACCTTTTGGTTTAGACTGGGAGGAAGCAGAAACAAGTGTTTGTGGTGCTGGGGTCAGTGTCCATCAGAGCAGCCTCATCCCACTCCAGTCCTTTCCTACCTCTCCAGCCAGCGAGTACCTCACATGGTGGTTTTATGCCTGTAAATGGAAGGTGATCAAAAGCTGTCTGTCTCTTGGATAGGGTGCAGATCTAATGCAAACCATAACCCATCTATTACAAAAATATCTGGCATATTTTAATCCTGTATCTTCTGGGATGTGGCTGGGGAGAGTGCAGTGGTACAAAGCAAAGAGGCCGGTTCTCTCAGGGCTCTGGATGTGGCATCAGGGTTTCAGAAAGAATTGGTGAAAACCAGAACCAAATACCTCTCTTATGCTCCCTTGACACTGTCAACAAGGACTGGTAGAGAAGTGCTAGAGCTGAGAAGTAGTAAGGAGCAGTACCAGATGAGGACTTGCAATGTGTGTCTCCATTCATTCCTAGTTGAGAACACTTGGAAGATGTTTCTGCTCTGTTAAGGGTTTCTGCATTGAAGGTGCAAGTTGGCTAGTGAAGAAGGATCACTTCAGTTCCCTTGTCTGCTGCCGGGGCTCCTGATGTCTCCAAGTTAGCACTAAGCGTCACTTAGAAGGTAGTATGGAGTGGGCTGGGAGAGTCCCCAGCTCCAGTATGGATTTGCCAGGATGAACCAATTCCTATTCTCTTATCCCAGAAGCAATAATGCTTCTCTCCCTGGCAATATAGGAAGTATTTGGAGATCCTCCAGCTCCAGGCATTTTCAGAGTGTGAGGATGTTGTAGGCAGTTGTTGTACCACAGGCTGTGTGCTGGAAGCTGCTGTGTGTGTTGGTAGCTTTGCTCTGGTTTCAGTCACTGCTGGTTCAGCACTTGTGTCCAAGTCAGCTGTCCCAGTTAGCACCTCTTGAACTAGGTCGAGAGCAACCTTCCCCTGAGGCCACAGATCAGATGCCACAGGCAGGATGTGAAGGCACCATCTGATGGGATGAAGGAGCTCCATGTAAAAGGTGACTGTAAAGGGCATCTCGTCCCTCTGTGGATAAGAGCCCTGTCCTTGCACAACATTGCAGTGTTGTTTTCTCACCTCAGAGTACCCCAGGTTTGTGAAGGCAAAGCATTGCCCACCAGTGTGGAGAGCATGGCATAGAGGGAGGGCATTGTGTGCCCCAGAGCACGGTGTGAGGACATGTGCACGTGTTTGAGGGAGTATGGCTTGTTGGGAACGTGTCCGAGAACTATCCCGAGCTAGGAGGACCAAACCTATGTGTCCAAGGACCCTGACCAAACCTTATGGACTGGAATGAGGAGAGCATCTGAGTGAAAGAGGAGGAGGCCACATGAAAGTGCGGATGTGCTGGGTCTGCATTTGGCCCTAAATCTCACCCCACTGCAAGGGCAGGATGTTAGCACTAACACAGCCTCCCTCCCAGTGCTGGTACATTCCTGGACCAGCTCAGGTAAATGCCAGTGGAGTTAAAACTGACCTGTAAAATACTCAAATGATGTAAATCCCTTTGGTGGCACTCAGGGTCCCAGACAACAGCCCTGCCCAGGGCAGCCTATGTGGGTTTGGGGTCCTTGCTGACCCCACTGGGTTCAGCAACCACTGAAACCCAGTTAAGGGTTTGGCTGAACCCCACACAGAGGCTGGCTGGAGCAGGGCTGTGTCCCCTGCCCCATAGAGCTCCAATGCAGCACAGGGGGGAATATATTTCCTTCTCAATTTCTTTACTTCTTCCCTCACTTGAGTTCCCTTTGTCACTTCATGAAACCCAGGGGGATTTAGTGCAAGCTGCGACCACAAGCACTCAGCCTCCAGGAATGGGCTGAACTGCTTAATTTAAAGCAGAAGGAAACAAAACTGAATAATAAGGGAGAGAAGCAAGCAGACCAAAAGCAGTCGTGCCATTGGTATAGAGGAGGCGAGCAAACAGTTGGCAGTGTGGATTGAAGAGAGGGGTTATGTTTTTTTCATGTCATTTGAGACTCTAATGATGGACTTATGTTGCCCGCTCTACACCTTACCTACTAAAGGAGGAGTTCTTGATGGGTAAGTGGATGCTATCCGCAAGACACCAGGGAATGTATGAGAGGTCACTTGAGCGCATTAGCTGTATCTTCTTCAGGGGGTAAAAAAGCACACAAAGAAGTATCTGTATACCTTTTATTTCCAGAGGGATTTTTCTTTTTCCCTCCCCTTTTTTTTCTTTTTCCTTTTTCCTTTTTCTTTTTGTTATTTTAGCTTTTATTTCAAAGTGATAACTTATTTATTTGCAAGTTTTTCCTTTGTACAGAAGCCCTTGATTTGATTTGATTTTTATTTGCTTATTTTAGTGACATTCATTCAGCCTCTTTATTAAGGAAGCGTAAAAAATTCACTCCTTTAAGATTTTGTTTCATTTTTGTTTTCTTCCCAATGATTATGCAGGGTTTTTTATATGTATATACACATTTATTCTTTTCTTTTTTTTTCTTCCCCCCTCCCCTCTTTAAGGTTAAATAAGGGCTTTGTCCTCTTTTTGATTCAGTTATTTTGGTTCTTTGGTTGCCCGTTTACTTTGCTGAACTCTTTTTGTTTAACATGAATCGCATGCTGATGCTCTTTGCATGATCTCTAAATCTTCCCATTATCATAGCAGGGGGAAAAGAAGTTTCTTCTTACTGTGGTTTTCTTTCAGGGATATGTGCTTTTGTTTTCTTCTCCTCTTTCTTCTTTTTCTTTCTTTCTTACTTTGTTTCTTTCCTTTCCTTTTGTTTCAGTGCATCATGGTGGTAAAATTTCTGGGTTTATTAAAAAAAAAAAAAGGCAAAATAAAACCAGAAACACACCCCCCAAACCCGTTCAAACAATGCCAAATGGCTTTTTTGCTTTCAGATCTCTCAGTCAGGGTCTTCTGCTGACCTCTTTACCAAAACAGACAGCCCGCCTGGCAACCTAGCCAGCCACAATGGAGAGTATCATGAATATGACTCAGGAAACGATACTTCCTCCCCTCCCTCCACTCAAACGAGCTCATCCAGGTCAAAGGAAAGCCAGGAGAAAAGAAGTCTAGTCCATGATGGCTTTGGCCATGCCTTCTCGTCCGGGAAGCCCAAACTGGCCAACAGCGATAACAGCTCTGATTCAGGAAATTCCTTCACCAGTTGCTTTTCCCAGACCAAGGGAACAGCTTTGGAAAATCTGTCTCCAGATGCCCAGGGACAAGACCGAAGGTCAGTGATTACCAGTAGCTGCTGCTGGCAGCCACATACCTGGTACGTTGTTGCTCTCTATCTCCTGCCCGCTCGCCAGCTGCAGTGGTGAGCTGGCAGGGAGGGGTTTGTGGTCTGGAGGCAGTTAGATGTAGATGAGACCCACGGTCTTGCCAGTCTGGAGTCAAGAACCCAGCAATGACCAGTGCTGTAGCCTGAGGAGGAAGGTGAAAACGCAGCCATCACAGCCCTGGGCATTGCTTGTGCCAGCTCTGCTGGTGTTAATGTGGTTAATGCAGGGTTTGGCCCTGGGTAGAGCTGTGTCCTGAGCACGTCCCTGCTCAACTGGGCATGACCATGTCAAAGAAGAGAGTCACTGGCCCTTCTGGGCAAAATCCGAGAGGTGCATCAGGGGTTTGCTGTGCTAACTTTCCTCCTCTGCTTACTGTGGGGAAAGCAAGTGGAACTCATTTTCACTAAAACCATTATGGGCTGTTCTTTCACCTATCCAATGAGCCAAATCCAGCCTGCCCCTTCCCAATTCATTCCTGGGTGACAAGGCAGCATCTCCTGCAGATGGGGAGCACAGGGAAGAGCAAGTGCCTGGCTGACTGCAGGACAACACAGCAGCAGCTCTGTGTGCTGGGGCCAAGGGGCATCAAGGCTGGGCACAGCAGTCAAACCATCACCCAGTGCCACAGGATCATCAGGAGAGGGGAATGGATGCAGCCTCCATCACTAGCTCCTGTTCCTGGGAGCTTGTCCAATGATGCAGGGGATGAAGGCACTGAAGTGCAGTGGCTGGTACCCACGGCTATGCTCAGACAGTGGTGTTAGAGAGCTCTTCCAGCTCAAGCTCTCTGCTCTTTAAAGCTGAAAGGTAGGGCCAGGATGTGGTCTGAGGGTGGGAGCACTGAATGAGAGGAGAGGGAGCCAGGGAATTGATGTTAGGAAGAACAAGCCCTCCGTTTTCAGTCAGAGGGTAAAAGTTTAGGGCTGTATGTACGTTTCCCATTGTGACTCCAACGGGATAACTCTGCCTTCACATGGGTGGAGCTGGGATTGCAGCTGGCCCTGGCTGCTCGGAGCTGACCTGCCTCGCTGCTGGCCTCTAACCCCAGTTCAGACCCAGGGCACTTCTGGAAGCAGAGGAATTCACACAGCCCTGCTCACGCTGCTCCACAGCCAGGCTGGAGCACAGGCCCTTGCCCTGCCATGCTCCAGCTTTCCCTTGCTCCAGCACTTCTCACCTCATTCCCTCTCAGGACCTGCACCACTCGCTGGCCTGACCCAGGCTCTGGCAACCAGCCACCTCTGGTGTGTTGGGCATGGGACAGCAGAGCTGCCCCTCACACCACCTGGGAGCTCTTCCCTGGCACAGCCTGGAGGGTGAGCTCTTGAGCTCTGACCCACAGGGTCTCCTGCAACAGCAGCCTGGAGAGCCAAGAGGTCCTTTTTATCCCCAGCTGTGGAAAGGGAGGATGGGAGTAATTGTTGGCTGGAGCATGGTGCTCCCCTCAGCCAGGGACCAGTCCCAGTTCAGCCACAGCTTCAACAACTGCCCAATATATGTCCACAGAGGGTGCCTGTCCTTATGTCCCAGCTGCTCAGAGGAGAAGCAGCGGGATTCCCCGGCGTGCCCCAGCCGCAGCTCCTCGCTGAGGCCGTGCTCCCGCAGCGAGTCCTCCACCAGCACGGGCAGGTCTTCCCCTGGCTCCAGCCGCTCCCGCTCCTCGCACCACAAGGTCTCTCCCAGGTACTCCCGAAGCAGGTCCCGTTCTTCAGGAAGGAGGTAAGGCCAGCTGGAACGCCTGTCCCTGTGACCCCGGGCAATGTCTAACCCTTGCAGCCTGGCAGGCTCCCTGCAGGGGAGGTGGAAGAGTTTTGGGGGGTACCTAGTTCACCCCACATGGCTTGGGGTGAACTGGACGCACAGAGCTGAGCTGGGACCCTGAAATATGGGGCATCTCCTTCCCCCAACCCCATGAACCCTGGATTTGGAGGAGTCTTGCACACCTCACCCTCCAGCATCTTTAACTCTTGAATGGTTCTTGCCTATCCCCAGGTCTTCTTCACGTTCCCGCAGCTATTCCTCCAAATCCTGCAAAAAAAGTCCCGGGAGCAGGAATTCAAGGCCTCGTCGGAGCCCCAGTTACTCCCGCTACAGCCGTAGCAGGTACAGCTATCTCCTCATGTGGTACCTGCTGCCTCACCCTTTCCCACTGCCTCCTTCCCTTGTGGGGACTCCAGCACATTTGCTGGCTCCTGCCAGCCCCAAACTGCTCCGTCAGCTTCCTCACTGGGTGCTTTAGTCCTCGGCACTTGGGGTGAGAGGGAGCAGGGGGACGCGCAGCAAGGATTATGGCTGTATGTTACGTTGACCCTCAGTCCAGTGGGAATTTCTCACCATTTATTGCCTCAGAGCTGGTGCTGGTTGCAGAGGGAAGAGCCCAGAGATGAGCCTTTCACTTCCTATGGGAAAAGCGGGTTTCCTACAGCCCTGTGCTGGTTCAGGGGAACCTCACACAAAGCACTTCTGGAGCTAGGCAGGTTGCTGGGGAAGAGACCTGGTTTATCCCATGGTTTCTCACGCTCAGAGCATGTGGCAGGTGAAGTGGCTGTTCTGCTTTGAGCATTCGCAGCCAAGAGTGCACAGACGGCTGCTTGCTGGTGTTTGCCAGAGCCTCATCAAAGTGGGAGATGCCTCACAGGAGAACCTGGGGGCTGCCCCTCTCTATCATGCTGGTGTAAATGGTGGGCAGAGGGTTAGGCTCCAGTTGGGTCTACCCACATCTTTCACCACCTGAGGAGCTCATGCTGGCCAGCAGAGCTGCAGCCCTTGTCAGAGAGGGATCTTCATGCAGAAGGGAAGGACACTTTGCTTTGCAGAGTCACAGCTCTGGCAAAGAGTTGTCAGTGCCCCTGCCCTGTGGGGAGATGTCAGGTACCCTCGTGCTGGCACTCACACAGCCTTGCGGAGGAAAACCCAGTCCAGGCAACTCTATGCCCTCCACACCCCATGGAAAACACACACCTCACAAGCTCAGCCCTGGAGATGCCTTTGGGCATGTTTCTGGTAACATCTCTGCTGCTGTGTACATTTTGCAGCCTTAAATGTTATGTTACCAGGGACTGGTTGTTTCAGGCTGTGACAATCCCTGCACTGGTGTCACACAACATGTCCTGCATGCTGGGATCGCCAGCTATCACTCCACAGAAGGGCCTGTGCTGACGTGTGTGGGGAATTTAACAGAAAGGAAAACCATAGCAACACTGGCACTTGTCCTGGAGAGCAGGGCAGAGCTGCGCAGCCCTGCAGGGATACTGGGGCCCTCTGCTCACGTGGGACCTGCTGCCAGGGTTGTTCTGGCCTGCTTCTGCAGCATAGCCAGCAAGAGCTGGTTTAGTAGAGCTAAATACAGAGTGCATCCACAGACACAGGTATGTGGAAGCCGTCCCAGCTTGGCAGTGCAAACCCCCAGGTATGATTAGTGGGTGTCCATGTGCTCAGAGTGTCTCTTTGTCCAGCTAAATGATTGAGCACTGGGATGATTCTACCAGAGCACTTTGCGTAGAGTGGTCCCTTTGGCGCTGAGTGTCCTCTGCTCATCTGTGCCTTCATGGGTCGCTGCCCCCACTCCCAAAGCCCCAGCAGTGACGGTTTCAATGTGTGCCTTCCGCAGAGACCGTGAGCGCGAGCACAAGTACAGCTCCAGTGACAAGGAATCGCAGCGGGAGCGGGACCGGCAGCGACGCTCCTATTCACCCCTGAGGAAGCGGAGGAGAGACTCTCCCAGCCACCTCGAAGCTCGGCGCATCACAAGGTAAGGGGATGTGGCCCCATCACTTGGAGGCAAGCTCAGCTAGCACTCCCCAGTGACACGCCTGCTCTCTTTGGGTCCCAGCCCTTGGTTTCTCCAGGAGGAGGCTGGTTTCTTTTAGCCTGATCAGCGGGTCCTTCTGCCCCTCCTAGAGCTTGGGGATTTCCAGATAGAGGCAGAGGGAGGATGGAGGGTATCTATAACAGCTGAAGGCAGAGCAGGGGCTCCTGCGTCAGGTGCCATGAGCATCTCCCTCCAAAGCTTTTCATTTCACCCTCTCCTGTAGTAGATGTTCCACACTATACAGTGTCAAATACAGACTCCAACCTTCACACTGAGGGGTCTTTGGGACAACATCAAGCAGAGTCCAGCCTCAGACTTAGCACTTGGGACATTCCTAAGGGCCATGGGGGTGGGTGGTTTGAATCCCAAGGCCTGACAGCTGTCTGATCTCCTTTTTTTCTTTCAAACACTCAATCACATTCTGGGGGAGTGTTTTGCAGAATAAACAGTGCTTTTTGGAGACTTCAGCAGTAAATCCATCCTTGTGCTGCTGGTAACGCGCGTCTCTGTCCCCACAGCGCCCGCAAACGCCCCATCCCCTACTACCGCCCCAGCCCCTCCTCCTCCAGCAGCGCCAGCAGCTACTCCTCCTCCTACAGCAGCTTTAGCCGCTCCCCGAGCCAGAGCCGGAGCTACTCCAGCTATCGGACAAGCCGGAGCCGAAGCTGGAGCAGGAGCAGCAGCAGCACCGAGGGCAGGAGCCGCAGCCGGAGCTCGGGCCCCAGGAGCAGCCGCAGCAGGAGCAGGAGCTATGACTCAGGAGGCAGCTCCGACAC